AACAAACAAACAAACAAAAAACAGTACAACAGATTCTTTCAAAGAATTAATAAAACTGATATGCCCCTAGCCAGACTTATCAAAAAGAAAAGAGAAAGGACCCAAATAAATAAAATCATGAATGAAAAAGGAGAGATCACAAGCAACACCACAGAAATACAACTAAAAGAGAATATTATGAAAAATTATATGCCCACAAATTAGGCAATCTGGAAGAAATTCATAAATTCCTAGAAACATATAAACTACTAAAACTGAAACAGGAAGAAATAGAAAATTTGAATACCAGAATAGAAATTGAAATAGTAATCAAAAATCTCCCAACAAACAAAAGTCCAGGGCCAGATGCCTTCCCAGGGGAATTCCAGCAAACATTTAAAGTGTTAATACCTATTCTTTTCAAACTGTTCCAAAAAAATAGAAATGGAAGGAAAACGTCCAAACTCTTTCTGTAAGGCCAGCATTACCTTGATCCCAAAACCAGACAAAGACCCCACCAAAAAGGAAATTACAGACCAATATCCCTGATTGACATGGATGCCAAAATTCTCACCAAGATACTAGCCAATAGGATCCAACAGTACATTAAAAGAATTATTAACCACAATCAAGTGGGATTTATTCCTGGGCTGCAAAGGTGGTTCAATATTTGCAAATAAACCAACGTGACAGACCACATTAATAAAAGAAAGGATAAGAACCATATGATCCTTTCAACAGATGCAGAAAAGGCATCTGACAAAATGCAGCATCCATTCTTGATAAAATCCATTCTCAACAAAGTAGGGATAGATAGAACATATCTCAACATCACAAAGGTCATATACAAAAGACCCAGAGCTAATATCATCCTCAATGGGGAAAAACTGAGAGCTTTTCCTCTATAGGCAGGAACAAGACAGGGATGTCCACTCTCACCACTGTTAATCATAATACTGGAAGTCCTAGGTGCAGCAGTCAGACAACAAAAAGAAAGACATCCAAATCGGAAAGGAAAAAGTCAAACTTCCACTATTCACAGATGACATGATACCCTACATAGAAAACCCAAAAGACTCCACCAAAAAAGTGCTAGTACTGATACACAAATTCAGCAAAGTCGCAGGGTACAAAATCACCATATAGAAATCTATTGCATTTCTTTTTTTTAAGAATTTATTTATTTATTTGAGAGGGAGAGGGAATGAGCAGTGTGGAAGGGCAGAGGGAGAGAGAAAGGGAGAAGCAGACTCCCTGCTGAGCAGGAAGCCCAATGCGGGACTCGATCCCAGGACCCTGGGATCATGACCTGAGTCAAAGGCAGACGCTTAACCAACTGAGCCACCAAGGTGCCCCTGCTGCATTTCTATACACCAACAACGAAGCAGCAGGAAGAGAAATCATGGAATCAATCCTATTTACAATTGCACCAAAAACCATTAGATACCTAGGAATAACCCTAACCGAAGAGGTAAAAGATCTGTACTCTGAAAACTATAAAACAATTATGAAAGAAATTGAAGATGACACAAGGAAATGGAAAGATATTCATGCTCATGGATTGGAAGAACAAATATTGTTAAAAAGTCTATACTACCCAAAGCAATCTACACATTTAAGGCAATCCCTATCAAAATACCACCAGCATTTTTCAGAGAGCTAAAATAATCCTAAAATTTGTATGGAACCAGAAAAGACCCCAAATAGCCAAAGCAATCTTGAAAAAGAAAAGCAAAGCTGGAGGCATCACAACTCCAGACTTCAAGGTATATTACAAAGCTGTAGTCATCAAGGCAACATGGTACTGGCACAAAAACAGACACAGACCAATGGAACAGAACAGAAAATGCAGAAATGGCCCACACCATATGGTCAACTAATGTTTAACAAAGCAAGAAAGAATATCCAGTGGAAAAAAAGACAGTCTCTTCAACAAATGGTGTTGGGAAAACTGGACAACCACATGCAGAAGAATGAAATTGGACCATTTTCTTACACCATACACAAAAATAAATTCAAAATGGATGAAAGGCCTATATTTGAGACAGGAAATCATCAAAATCCTCGAGGAAAAAACAGGCAGCAACTTCTTACTAGACATGTCTCCGGAGGCAAGGGAAACAAAAGCAAATATGAACTACTGGGACTTCAAGATAAAAAGCTTCTGCACAGGGAAGCCTGTGTGGCTCAGCCCATTAAGCGTCTGCCTTTGGCTCAGGTCATGATCCTAAGGTCCTGGGATCAAGTCCCGCGTCAGGCTCCTTGCTCATCAGGGAGCCTGCTTCTCCCTCTGCCTGCCATTCCTCCTACTTGTTCGCACGCTCTCTCTCTCTGATTAAAAAAAAAAAAAAAGTTTCTGGCACAGCGAAGAAAACAATCAACAAAACTAAAAGGCGACCTACTGAATGGGAGAAGATATTTGCAAATAACATATCTGATAAAGGGCTAGTATCCAAAATCTATAAAGAACTTACTAAACTCAACACCCCAAAAAAACAAATAATCCAGTTAAGAAATGGGCAGAAGACATGAATAGACATTTTTCCAAAGAAGACATCCAGATGGTAACAAACACATGAAAAGATGCTCAACAACACTCAACATCAAGGAAATGCAAATCAAAACCATGATGAGATACCGCCTCACACCTGTCAGAATGGCTAAAATTAACAACACAAGAAGCAACAGGTGTTGGTGAGGATGCAGAGAAAAAGGAACCCTCCTAACACTGTTAATGGGAATGCAAACTGGTGCAGCCACTCTGGAAAACAGTATGGAGGTTCCTCAAAAAGTTAAAAATAGAACTATCCTATGACCCAGCAATTACACTCCTAGGTATTCAGCCAAAGTATACAAAAATACTGATTTGAAAGGGCACTTGCACCATGATGTTTATAGCAGCATTATCAACAATAGCCAAATTACAGCAAGAGCTCAAATGTCCATCAACTGATGAATGTCTAAAGATGATGTGGTGTCTGGAAAACAGTATGGAGGTTCCTCAGAAAGTTGAAAATAGAGCTACCCTACAACCCAGCAACTGCACTACTGGGTATTTACCCCAAAGATACAAATATAAGGATCTGAAGGGGTACATGCACCCCAGTGTTTATAGCAGTACTGTCCACAATAGCCAAACTATGGAAAGAGCCTAGATGTCCATCAACAGATAAGCAGATAAAGAAGTGGTATATGTATGTATACACACACACACACACACACACACAGAGGAATATGACTCAGCCATCAAAAAGAATGAAATCTTGCCATTTGCAACAATGTGGCTGGAGCTAGAGTGTATTATACTAAGCTAAATAAATCAGTCAGAGAAAGACAAATATCATGATTTCACTCATGTGGAATTTAAGAAACAAAACATGAACAAAGGAGAAGGGGGGGAAAAAAGAGGGAGGCAAATCATAAGAGACTCTTAACTACAGAGAACAAACTGAGGGTTGATGGAGGGAGGTGGGCAGAAATGGGCTAACTGGGTGATGGATATTAAGGAGTGCACTTGTGATGAGCACTAAGGTGTTATATGTAAGTGATGAATCACTAAATTCTACTCCTGCACCCAATATTACACGATATGTCAACCAACTAGAATTTAAATAAAAACTTAAAAAAAAAAGAAAAGGAAATATACACTAGTAAGCAAGGAAACTGAAGTCATAAAAAGAAAAAAAATAAAACTATAACCTTTCAAAGAGAAACACAGCAGGAAAAGTTTATATGTCATAAATAATCACCCAGACAAATGAATATTTTATTTCCCACAAACAGGGCCCAACAAGTTGCCATTATTTTTTTTTTAAAGATTTTATTTATTTATTTGAGAGAGAGAGAATGAGAGACAGAGAGCATGAGAGGGAGGAGGGTCAGAGGGAGAAGCAGACTCCCTGCCGAGCAGGGAGCCCGATGCGGGACTCGATCCCGGGACTCCAGGATCATGACCTGAGCCAAAGGCAGTCGCTTAACCAACTGAGCCACCCAGGCGCCCCAAGTTGCCATTATTTGAGTGAACCGCTAATAAAGAATCCAAAATTCAAAAGAAGCCCATTTGCAGAAGTGCAACTTAGCCTCTCTCTCCTGGACAGTAGCTTTCAAAAAGATATACAGCATCATATTCTTAAACTCTTAGAGGAGATGAAGACTCAAGAGTAGGATATCAGTCAAAATCCAACTAGAGAATGAAAACAACTCAGTGTGTTCATAATTGGGGATTTAATGAAGACAAATGGTTACACAGATGACGGAATAGCTGAGAGACCAAAAAAGAAACTGTGAGGCTACCTACTGCATTAGCGGCAGCAGGAAGCCATGACTGCCCTAGGCTAGAGAGACACCGGAGTGCAGGGTGCTGGGTCACCCGGCAGAAGCTGGAACACCACTGGAGCTACCTAGAAGAAGCCAGAACCACAGAGGAAATGCAGCCACTAACAGAGAGAGGAGAGGGAAGAGTACTCTCCCCTTTCTTCCATCCTCTCCTTCAATTTCTCACCAGTGCCTCCCAAACTCAGCAGAAGACAATAGACATGGTATCGTGGGAAACAGACAAGGGACGGCCACCTAGCAAAACAGTGCAGGAAGGAGCAATGAAATGGAATGTAGGAATGTATCTGAGAACAAAAGGGCCAATCCAGACATAAATTCTGTTCAGGAAAAATTAATTCTAAAGTCTAAAACATTCAACAGTAATAAGTGTGCAGTTATAAATCCTAGACATCTCATCAAATTTGAATTAATAACTTCTTTTCTAAGAAATCTGTATGTCCTAGAGTTTAAGGCTAGGCACTGTATGTTACAGTTACTTTCAGACTTGTACAATACAGTATCAGTTCTAATGAAGTCTCTATAGTATGATTATATTACTTTTTAAACTAAAAATGAATTTATTTTGAAAACTAAAAAGTTACTGTAAGAGAAAGTAATCTGACTAAAGTTAAGAGTTCTCATTTTGGAATCAGGTCAACCTCAAACAAACATTTAATTTATATGTCCCAAAAAAGTTAAAACCATACCATTTAAATCTGCATTTTCAAATCTGACCCAGACTATTTTCTCCTTTTCTTCTGTTAGAGGTGTTCCACTGTAAGCCTGCATAGTAAACAGAAACGTTTGAATAAAAATGTTTTACAGTCTAATATTACTGATGTTCAAGACAAAAAGTAACTTAAATAAAGCCAGCCCTATCCCTCTCCAATTCCACCAATCCTACATTTTGGGAACCAATTCTGTAATATTTTTACTCCCAAAGTTATCCCGAGTCTGATAATCTTGGTTAAAGGAATTTTACCCATTAAAGAATTGCAGAAACCTAAAATACAAAGATCTTAGTCTATTAGAAAGCATCACTATAATGCAAAGGCACTCAATAAACTAAATCATGCCTATATTGGCCAACAAATAAGAAGGCTTAAGAAATAAACAAAACTGGGGGCACCTGGGTGGCTCAGTTGGTTAAGCGACTGCCTTCGGCTCAGGTCATGATCCTGGAGTCCCGGGATCGAGTCCCGCATCGGGCTTCCTGCTCAGCAGGGAGTCTGCTTCTCCCTCTCCCGCTCCCCCCTCTTGTGCTCTCTCTCTCTCAAATAAATAAATAAAATCTTTAAAAAAAAAAAAAAGAAACAAACAAACAAACAAAACTGGGGCGCCTGGGTGGCTCAGTCGTTAAGCGTCTGCCTTTGGCTCAGGTCATGATCCCAGGGTCCTGGGATCGAGCCCCGCATCAGGCTCCCTGCTCGGCAGGAAGCCCGCTTCTTCTCCCTCTCCCACTCCCGCTGCTTGTGTTCCCTCTCTCGCTGTCTCTCTCTCTGTCAAATAAATAAATAAAATCTAAAAAAAAAAAAAGAAATAAACAAAACTACCACATGTATCTATTTAGTCCCAGGTGTTTATGACCGGGTAATTACGCACTATCTAGAATTTTCAAAAGTATTACTACCAACTTGCCTTCAGTTCCAGGTGGAAGGCAAGGGCCAGAGTTGGGGGTGAAAAAAAAAAGTACACTATGACTTTTTCAGTCTTTTTAAAAGATTTTATTTATTTAGTCATGAGAGACAGAGAGAGAGAGAGGCAGAGGGAGAAGCAGGCTCCCAAGGAGCAGAGAGCCCGATGCGGGACTTGATCCCAGGACCCCAGGATCATGACCTGAGCCGAAGGCAGACACTTAACCATCTGAGCCACCCAGGCACCCTGACTTTTTCAGTCTTTTGTCTGGCTTCTAGACCCAACCTATTAGCTGGTTTCTACAGGCCTGCAAGGTTCACAAAGATAAGCATAAGCTGCCATGAAATCATAGGAAAAGTGTCAATGGTATCCGTCAGTATTCAAAGGGAGTCATTTCTTCATAAAGCAAATGTTTCTATTTAAAAGTTTTAAAGACTGTATATATTAATAAGCATTTAGAATGTCAACAAAAGACCTGCAATATTCTCAATTATAAAGTGAAACTCAGTTCACAAAACAATGAATATAAGCTATACCAAAAGCATACAAAAACTACCATCCTGCAGATAATGTGTTATACGTAACCTGCTTTAAATTTCCATGCCAATTTACAGCCGCTGTACTGTATCATACAAGGTATTAACTTGTATGGTGACTGAAAATCATCTACAGTGAAAATACTACTAAAAGACAGAATTACTTCAACAGATTTACTATACAACAGAAATTATCTTACAAATCCTTACCATTTCATTGTCTTTAAAAAAAAAAAAAGAACCACCAAGTGAGATGTGTATAGGGTAATCAGTTCCTTTGGAAAAGAGGAAAGCTTACCCTAAAGCCAACTAATTCATCAACTTTATCTTCGACCACCTCGTCCTCACTTCCTTCCTCTTCTTTTCATCCTTGAAAACTCTTTTAAAAATAAACTTTAGGAGGGGCGCCTGGGTGGCTCAGTCGGTTAAGCGTCTGCCTTCGGTTGAGGTCGTGATCTCAGGGTCCCAGCTCCCTGCTCAGTGAGGAATCTGCTTCTCCCTGTCCCTCTGCCCCTCCCCGCTGCTGGTGGTCTCTCCCTCCCTCTCTCTCTCTGAAATAAATAAATAAAATCTTTTTAAAAAATAAATAAACTTTAGGGACACATGGGTGGCTCAGTCAGTTAAGCCTCTGCCTTGGGCTCAGGTCATGATCTCAGGGTCCTGGGATCGAGCCTTGCATCAGGCTCCCTGCTCAGCGGGAAGTATGCTTCTCCCTCTCCCTCTGCCTCTTCACCACCCACCCCTACCCCCACCCTCACCTCTGCTTGTGTGCGTGCTCTCACTCGCACTCTTTCTCTCTCTCAAATAAATAAAATCTTTAAAAAAAAATAATAAATAAACTTTATATTTTGGAATAATTTTAGATTATTAAATATAGTACAGAGTTCTCATATACCCCTCAGCCAGTTTCCCCTAATGTTAACTAACCAAATCCGACCTTGCCTTGGTACATTTGTCAAAACTATGACATTGACATTGATGCACTACTATTAATTAAGCCTCAGACTTTATTTGGATTTCATCAGTTTTTCCACTAATGTCCTTTCTCTGTTCCAGCATCCAATCTAGAATAGCACAGTGCATTGAAGAGAACTTTTTTTTCCCCACATCACGTTCTCCTTTAATCTGGTAAAGCAATAACATTTTTCAAAATTTTCTTCAGTACAGCAGATTATAAGGCTGTTTATCACCTGCAGCATTATTCAACATTCTCCCAATTCCTTTGCAACATTTGCAGGATGCTCTCCTTTGATTTCTGAGCGATATGCCGAACATAACAAAGTTGAATGAGGTCTTTCACTATACTGGGATTCTTGAACTCCTTTTCTTTCCCCTTCGGGGGAAAATAAGACTTTCAAAACAAGCCCTGTATGCTTTTGCTATGTCTTCAAGTTTTCCTCTGTCCTTAGAAGACATGGTGTTCTCCACTAAGCCTTCTTGAGAAAATTCTGTGAAACCAACTGAGACATCTGAATGCTGCTTCTTGTGTGTCTTCCTGAAGGTTTGCACAGAGAAGGCACGTGTGGGTATTTTCTTCTCAGTGAGGCACGTACCCACCCAGTGCCCATCCAGCTGTCATTTGGTATCCTAATAGAGCTCAGTGCACTACTACACCAGAGGTTTCCCCCACCTTCCAGCACCGATTATTTGCCCTCCTTCTACAACCAAGATCCAACTACTTTAGCCCTCTCATTTAGAATCAAAACTTTCACCCCATTATTGACAGGATTTATTTATTTCTCCTTTTACTCCTTACCAGGTTTCTAACACATAAACACATTCATAAGCATAAAGTTATTGTTGCACTTTGCCTTTTTATTATTGAACTTTAAAAGACAGTTACAATCACAGTAGATACGCTGTATTTATATGTTGTATGTACATATTTTTTTTTTGACTGCACAGAAAATCACCTCCATTGTGTCAAAAGGTATGTAATTTCTAATTACAGCAAATAATACTGTAGGGATCACATACCATAATTTGCTTGACTGCTACTGACATTTGGGCTAGCTACAATTTGTTACACTGAAAATGCAGAACTTTCACACACATACACTGAAATGAAAAGTTCTGCGCTTTACCTTTCTTCTTTGCTGAATTATTTTTTTTAAAGATTTTATTTATTTATTTGAGAGAGAGAATGAGATAGAGAGAGCATGAGAGGGGGGAGGGTCAGAGAGAGAAGCAGACCCCCCGCTGAGCAGGGAGCCCGATGCGGGACTCGATCCCAGGACTCCAGGATCATGACCTGAGCCGAAGGCAGTCGCTTAACCAACTGAGCCACCCAGGCGCCCCTGCTGAATTATTTTTTAATAGATTTTCATGAGTAAAATTATCAGATCAAAGAGCACAGCTAAAGGCATCTATAGCCAACAATAACATCTGTTAAACACACTGGGAATTCACTCTATCTGTAATAGATGAAGAAGTGGACACCAGTCTAACAACACATTTTCTCCCTTTTGTGGGTATCTGGAAACCCAGAGGATAATTCCTAGGCTCCAGAAATTCGACGATTTCCAGAATAGGAGTTGGAACATAACATCAGCAAAAAAATGTAATTTTCCAAATGGCTGACTGCAAAGTACCACTGGGGGATTCTGGATTAAAGGTGGAAAAAAAGAGGCCAGAGGTCACCAAAATGGCCCACCACCTGTGTTTATAAATAAAGTTTTATTTTAACACAGCCATGCCTTTTCCTTTAGATAAAAAGCAGTGCCGAGTAGTTGCAACAGATATTTTATGAACTGCAAAACTTATCTGGCCCTTTACAGAAAGTTTGCTAACTGCAGCACAAGACCAGGACACCTTAGGGAAAGGCACCAAGTATCCCTTCAACTTAACACAGTGCCCGACCCATAGTGGGTGCTCAAGTAAATGTCTGCTGCCTGAATTTTTGCTTTCTTTCCAGAGTAAACAGAATAATGACCTGCATAACATAAATGTCTTGAATGAATATTCTAATTCTTAGTTCCATGGCTACAACCTTACTTCCGTAGTTGCTACTCTGATCCAAATCTTCATAATCAATTGCAGAGATTATCCCCTTCCTAATGTTTAATGCTCAAAAAACTAAATTAATCTTTTTTTTCTGAATTAATCTTCTACCTTCCAGCATTTTTACCCTACCAATTTTAACAGACCCTATTTTCAATCTATTAGTCAATCTGGTATTCTTGTTTCTCTAGCAAATTCTCTATTCCCTCAAAGCCTCTGACCACAGCCTTTCTCCTGCCGCCAATAAAAACTGCTTGCTACACAGGGTTTCCACTAACACAAAAGGTGCCTTTGTAAAAATGTGATAAAGAGGCACTCTAGGGGGGCGCCTGGGTGGCTCAGTCGTTAAGCGTCTGCCTTTGGCTCAGGTCATGATCCCAGAGTCCTGGGATCGAGCCCCACATCAGGCTCCCTGCTCTGCGGGAAGCCTGCTTCTCCCTCTCCCACTCCCCCGCTTGTGTTCCTGCTCTCGCTATCTCTCTCTCTCTGTCAAGTAAATAAATACAATCTTTAAAAAAAAAAAAAAGAGGCACTCTAGGGGCAGGCAAATTACAAAAATTTTTAAATGCCCCTTCCTTGGAACCAGCCTCATGCCAGGGCTCAGGGCTTAAGAGAAAGAGCAGTTTGGAGAGATCAGGTTGGATTTCAGCCCCAGGTTACTCTCTAGAACTGGCATTCTGTGCAGAGTCCAAGATGCTCTTGGACAGCAACTCTGTTGCCTGCCATACCCAGCTAGCCAGTTTCCTCCAACATCCAATACCCAACCTTTCCATTCATTTCAACTGCTATTTCCAGTGTCCTTTAGGATTTGTCTTTCACTCTCTTTGCTACTCATTGTCTTAGCAATTACATATTCAATCTGTACTATCATGTATAACACTTACTGAAATGCTGCTGTAAACTCTGCTGTTTCAGCAATTTGACTTCCCTTAGTAACCAAGTTCCTCAAAATAGGAAAGCATTTATTATCCCTTACATGCCCCAGAGATCTCATCATTGTGACCCATTTCCATTAAAGTTATCTGAACATGATAAAGGAGTATCAACATTTCCTGATACTTTTCCTTATTTGATAAATACAACTTACATAATATAACTGAAATCTGGATTTTAGACTTTTCTAGGATGCTGTCATAAAGCTGGGACACTGGATCTATGAATTCCTTTTTTCAACAGCAAGGTTACAGATAGTCTGGCAGTCAGGAAACACTGACATCACCACAAGGAGAAAATACCTTTCCTTTCAGTAGCTCCACTGAACAGAGCTTCCCACAGCCTCTGTTTCACAAGACTCCCTGGAGGTTCTCACTACACACACACGTTACTGGATGCCACCTCAATTCCACTGAGTCAAACTCTCTGGGACGGGGCCTGGAAATGATTATTTTTAACACATGTGCCAAGTGATACTTGTGTTAAATCTGGGCAACAGTGCGCTAGATATGATCCCAGGACGGTTGCTCTCATTCTTTATTTATATAGAGAGAACTCAGTTATAAGTTAGAGTAACAAAGCATACCCTACTTGGCATAAAAATACTGCTCACCATGAAAGACATGTAGATTTGTGCTCAGTGTAGTATTTAGCTAATATAATGTCTAGTTAATGAAATGCAATGATCACTTCAGACAGGCAACATTTAACTAGGGCAAGAGAAAGATTCTGGAAATAAAACCCAACTACAGAATCCCAAGTCCCATCTCTCAACTAACATCTCACCTGATTCCTCTTAGGAGAGCAAGTCTTGAGGAATCATAATTGTGTCACTATCAGCATAAAACTAAGGCACATGTAATACTAACATGGATAGTTCTACCCTACCAATGTTCGGGATGCTAAAACATCAGAAGTCTTTCTGAAGTTGATGATACCAGGGTCAAGTTTAGGAAAGAGAACATTTCAGAACTTCCCTGGCCAATGGTAAAACCTACTATATTTCTGGAACTACACAGACACTTACCTGTGGCACGACATCCTGTAGAAAAGTCACAACACTTTCCATGTAGGACTGCTCCCTGAAAAAGAGGGAAATGGATAAAATTTACCCTGACAGCTTAAAACAAAACATGGAAAAGTGCTTTCTACAGCCCCTAAGAAAATTACTCACAATATTAAAAAAAGAAAAAAGACTAACTCTCATCAACCGGTAATTCTGCTATACTGCTTTCTAGTTTCTTTGTATATGTTATTAAATGAAATGCAAATGAGATATTAATCTTTTTAAACATCATCTCTTCTTAAAAGCCATGCTCTCTTAATTTGACATAGATATTCTAACTTGTATTTGAAGGAGTGATGACACAAGGCTAAGGCAGGACTTTCCTCTTGAGTCAAAGCAAAAGAATTCCCCAGTCAGAGCAAGAAAAACTGTGGCTGATGACTCAATACTTAGTGACCTCCTCTTTAAACTGGTTATGTACCTAGTCCTTTACCTGTATATAGCAAAATCAATTGGCATTTTGCTGCAAGCGCAGGCATTAGGAGATACTAAAAAATCCTCACAGAATTTTTGCCATAGACAAGACATGGGAAAATACTAAAATGCATAAAAGTGAAGAAAAATGATACTGGTAAGGTCACTAAGAGATTTTAAATGGGAAGTATATGCATTTCAGCAAGCGGAAAAAAATTCTTCAAAATACCAAATCAAATTAATTTCATTTCATGTGAAAAATTACATTTGAAGAAATTCATATATGAGTTATCCTAAATCCTATAAAAAAGCAGTATGCCTTAGATAGCTACAAAAACTGATTAGGCCTAAAAAAACAAAAAACACACACACAACAATTTGATTAGGCCTGCCTCTGCCCTCTCATTTTTCTGCCCCTCTCCTCACTCTGCTTCCGTCACCTGCAACTTCCATTCCTAGAATACACCAAGCTCTCTGAGTCAAGACCTTTATGCCAGCTTTCTTTCTGCCTGGATTCCTTCCCATACTCTTCCATCCCTTTCATTTCTCCAGCTTAAGTGTCACCTCCTCAGAGAGGCCTTTCCTGACAGCCTGAAGTCAGACTCCCCACTGTCATTCTCTATCAGAGCACACCGGGTGCTGATCAGAGCCTGTAATCACTTTACTCATTTACTGTTTCCCCCACTAGAATGTAAACTCTACTACAGAAAGGACTCCAACTCTCATGTTTACCTTCTATCTCCAGAATCTCTAAACCAGTACTTCAGGCACGCAGTAGATGCTCAAGCATTGTTTGTTAAAAGAATACAAATAAAAGATTTTTTAAAAACACTAAAATTATGTATTGAATAACAAAAAGCAATATAAGTTGGATACCACATATTCTATAGTGAGGCAACAGAGAATACTGCCGACATGCACGGACTCTGGGGACAAACTGCCTGGGTTTGATCCAGGTTCCCCTTCTTGGCTATTCCCAAGGACAATTTAATTAATTTCTCCCTGCTTTGGTTTTCTCACCTGTAAAATGAAGACTGAAAGAGTACCTAACTCATAGCTAATAACATGCTTAACTTGTTGCCATGGTCCATAGTTGTTAGCAAACAAATATGGCCCAGGGAAACCCAGGAGGGAAAAAAAGGAAATATTATAGCAAAATACTATATTATACATATACTTTTCTTAGTCTGAGAGGGCAATCTTTATGTAACATGCTAAACTGCCCAAGGGAATAATATAAAATGCTACAATTCCCTTATGAACATTTTAAAAGGTAGAAAACAAGTTTCACCTCCTTATCCAGATAATGAAGGATCTTCACTGTCCACGCTAACCTACTTTATATAGGTCAACTTCCCTATATTTCATTTATGAAAATAGCTTGCCTTACCCACATCTGCTCACTCTATTCCCTTTGTCTAAAATGTACCTTTGATTCTAATTGCCCAAACTCTACCCAGCCTTTAAAGTACATTAAGTTAGCTTCTTAATAAACCCTTTAGGATCTAAAATACTAAAATATTCCCACTAAATACTCCCACTAAAATACTCCCTCCCAATTCTCATGGTTTGCTGGCACCTTTTTTTATTGATTACAGTGATCTCAAGTATACATATCTTAAAACCACATTAGATCATATGCTCCTAGAAAGTATAAATAGGCTTTGGCAAAGAATGCTTAAAATATAGAATGTACTCTTTATGACACTGACTTTGAAACCTTCTGACTGAAACCTAAATAAGAGATACATTTTACATCAGGTTCTGGTCAACATATACATACATATGAATAGTGTGTGTCACAAAAGAATATTCCCAACTATATTTTCTATAATATGCTATTTCATTTTTTAAATATTGGTCTTGATCCACTGAATTGATCTAATGAGCCATCCATTTTTGAACCTGGAGTTTGAAAAAACATTAGTTCTTAGGATTTAGCACAGGCTTTTGATGTACCCTATAAATGTGAATACATTAACTTGATCCTCCAGTTATTCCTTTTATTTGGTCTTGGCAATATTTATCATCCTGTGAAGCCAAAATTAAATAGATTTTACAAAAGTAGTCAATGTTCAGAAAGGAACCCTGAACGCTAGCTACTACTCTGAACAAATTCTCTTTAGCTTTTAGGCTTATCTGAAATTTGCTTACGTGACAGCCTGGGGGCGAACCACAACTCCACCAGTACAACGACTGGGTCTTCTGGGAGAATCTGTAGCCATAGCTTCATTTGCTAAACCTGTTTCCAGCACAAAGAGATAGGGAAAAAAAATGGATTATTATTGTTGTGGGTAGGGGTAAGGGTTTATGGTTCCTCACTAGAGATCCCTTATGGAAAATGCCTAAATTGTAGGAAACCTTCCCAGCAATCCCCATTACAAGAGAAAGAGGGTAGACTGGGGAGGAAGTAGATAAAGAAGTTTTCTAATTATCATGAATTTTTTTTTATTTGGACTAAGCCTCAGAACCACAGAACTAGTTAAGACTCTTTCTTTCTGGACCCTCTGATCCCTCTGTTAACATAAGCTAGAAAGGTAAGGGATGGAGAGTCTAACACAAGATTTCCTAATAAAAACAAATGTGCTATCTCTGTGAGCCAAAATTAAAGAATTGTACTAAAATCCTGAAATAGTGAAAATACACATGGCACAATATTTTGAGACCTAATGGACAGTGAAATAATTAATGCCTTCCAACTAAGACTGTTGGGAAACTATGAGCAAGACTGCATACTGTAACTATGTATAGATAAATGTTAACTAGACTTATTGTGGTGATCATTTCACAATATGTACAAATATCAAAACATTATGTTGTAAAAAAAACATTATGTTGTACACCTAGAACTAATACAATGTTATATGCTGATTATGGCTATCAAAAAAAAAAAAAAAAGGACTGCATTGTCATAATCTAACAAGAGTTTTTAAACCATATTTGTCAACCCCCTGCTATTGTAACCTAAACACGAGAGCCTAAATAAGTAATAAAAATTTATATGACATTAGAAGCCCCTTATCCTTTCCTATCACATCACTGAATCCTGATCCTTGAATGTCCAATGAGCATCTGAATCACCTGGAAGGTTTTAAGAGCGTGGAGTGTACTTGGTTAAGGTTAAAAGAGGATTGACAGCAATATTAACGATCTCTTTCAGGGCTCAGGAAAGTCCACAGCCTGGAAGCAATCTTGAAAGCCCCTAAAACCATCACTTCCAAGTAGGGAGGATTCTATCACCTTATTTGAAAATTCCCAAACTGATGAGTCTCATCTGCTACTACAAAAACACCCCTTGCCCCACCTAGCCCAGGCACCCCTTCCTCAGTAGGTATCATCACCACCAGCCCCTCAGCCCTCTTATTTCCATTCCACCCTTTATTTCCCGAAACACAGCCTCCCAAGAAATGTCCTTTAAGGGCCCTGTCTCCTGAGGACGACCCTCGCCAGCCCCTCAGGCCCCACTCTCCTAAAAGACACTAGCACAGCTCTACCCACTTAACCTCCAACGCGGAGCCACCGCTGCCCCCGGCCGCCCTCTGGCCCCTTGCCCTTCCTCCCCTCCCCCTCCAATCTCGCTAGCTCTCCCTCGTCGAACCCCTGCCAGCCAAGCCCTCTCCCCTCACGCTGCCTGCCCCTCGTCCTCTCCAAGCCTCCCCAAAGCCACAGCCCCACCAGCCCTCTCACCCGCCGCCCCGCCGGTAAACGCTGTTCTCCCAGCTCAAGGCTCACTGTTTGGAGTCTCCCTTGTGATTGACGGCTACCACTTCCTACCACGCCTCAGCGGAACTACTTTTCTAGCCAATCCCAGAAGGAAACTGGCTACGGCCGGGCACCGCCCTTGGAGGTCAGCTTCGCCAACCAGCAAGTAGAAAAGAGGCGGACCCGCCTCCTGAATTTACCCAATCGGCTGGGGCTCCAGGGAAAACAAAACAGTATGTAAGTTCGGGTGAAGCCGAGGTGTCAGGTTCGGTTGCGAACGCAGGCAGGTAAGGAGAGTTACGAACACGTCTGTTTTTCTTTGCAGACAGCACACCTACGTGGCTTTGTCGAAAAGAATCATGCCGCAGACCCCTGTGCACTTCAGCTACGCGTCTCGGGCTGGGAGTCGGAGGTCGGGGGACCGGTCTGTTTACATCGAATTCTCGCGACAGCTAGTTCGAAGCACAAAGCACGTGGACATGGCAGCTGCCAATCACTTTCTGCTGGCCAGTCATCCATCCCGAACCCGCCTTCTGTCCCGCCCTTTTCGATGTGTTTACCTTCCGGGAGCCTAGGCTGGCTGGCGCGGTGGGCAGCCTTAGAGCCAAGGAGGTATTGATCTAAATGAGGGGCGCGGCCGGTGATCGTGTCAATTTGAGCGAAGTTTGTGGAGCCCGCTCGACTCCTTCCTTACCTGTTTCATCTCCCCTATGGAAGAGATCGCGGTTTCGCTAGTGTTATTGCGTCAGTTACATTTCTTTTATAATAATGATAACATTTATTGATTTATTGAACAAACGCTCAGCACAGTCTCAGCACTTCATAAGTACTATCAAAAGTAATACGGCAGTCCCATGAGGTTATAGCTTATTAATAGGCATGAGGTTTGTAACAAATTAGCTGACACAGCAGTAAAAATTCTAAGGTTTTAAGCACAATGGAGGATGGAAAAGATTAGTAGAGGAACTACCTCAACGGATATATGCAGTTAATCGAATGATAGATACAGGTACAGATATAGATATAGTTGTAGATACAGCCAAGAAACCACCCATTTTCTCTTGACGCTCTATCAGTGCCAATAAATAGCACACCCAAAGTGCTATTTATCAGGCTAATGTTTGAACATTGGCTAATAAAAGATTCTGATAATTTATCTCTCACTACACACACAAACTCCGAGTACCATCGGCCTTTTAAGATTTGCTTCCTACACTAAACCCACTAACGGAAGAATCTTTCCAACATTCTAAATTCCTTTTGCTCTTACTGCTTTCTATCACTGTTACTTCTTTGCTGTATTTGAAATCTTCTAGAGTTTCTCTTGTGCATATCTCATTTTCCCCAACTAGAAAGTTAAATTCTTCCTAGGCATTAGAAGACTAAAGTTTTCACATTGTTCAATCCCTTTTAACACTCAACAGCCCTGAACACAACAGGTATTTTAAAATTCAGACTTATTCGAATTAAATAATTACTGTTTTCATGTTGTCCAGACCCAGGGCAGGAATAAAGAGGAAATCCAGAGGAAACCAATAGGTAATAATCACAAGTGGGATAACCAGCATTTGTATAAAGTTATTCAGTTTAAATAGCTGTTTCATATGCATTGTTAAACTTCATAGCTCTTTGACTATTCCTCTACAAAGTTATCGAAAAAACAAAGAAACAAAAAATCATAAAGAATACCCTTTGTATACAAGTTCACTCATTGATTCATTCAACAAATATTTGAATACCTATTAAGTGTCAGACATGTTCTAAGCTCCAGAGGTACAGCAATAAACAAATTAATCAATGTGCTTACCTCAGCCAGAGAATTTACATTCTGATGGGAAGACAAAAATAAACAGAGAAATTCAAGTAGTGTAAAATGCTATGGAAAAAAATATAATAAGCCAGACAAATAGAGGGCTTAATTTAGGTAGTGTCATCGGGGAAGGCCTCTCAGGAGATGACATTTGAACAAAGACTTTACTGAAGTATGTGAGAAAGGTACTCTGAGAGAAAAGCAGTCCAGACAAAAGGAATAAGTACCAAGGCCCTAAGAAGGGAATGAATTTTGATGAGGAATGAGAAAAACAGTATGGTTTAAGCAAAGTGAAATAAGTAGAAATTGATAGCCAACTAGTTAGGAGAGGTAAGCAGTGGCCAGATGGAGTATGGTCTTGTACAGAATTATAAGGAGTTTCAATAATTCAATTGAATTCAAGAATTCAATAAATTCTAGGGTGGGAATCTTTTGGAGGACTTTCAACCAGAAGGTATCATGACCATATATACAGTTCTAAAAGATCATTCTAGCTACTGTACAGAGAATAAGCTGTTGTCAGGGAGGGATCAAGAGGGAAAGCAGTGGGGCATGTAGGGAAGCTATTTCAGTAGACCAGGTGGGAGATGCAGTCCAGAACTGGGCGTAGAAGTGAAGCAGTAGAGGTGAAAAGTAGCCAACTTCAAAATATTTTGGAAGAGAGAATTGAAGATCTTGATATTGGGTTGGTTGTGGTATAGAAGAAAAAAGAGAATCAAGGATGATGCCTGTGTTTTGGGCTTGAACAACTAAGCGATGAAATTTATGGGTAGGATGAACACTGGTGAAGTTTTACATTTTGAGAGGGGGGGTGAATTTCTGTGCTTTGGTTTCATCCTTTATAAATTGTAAAAAAGACTATTATGAACCTCCAAGATTTTTATGAGGAGTAAATAAATTTTAAATTCTTAGAACCAGTTAAAAATTTCTCCAAATTAATTAGTTCTAATTATGAATTAACCAGCTATGTCTAATTACCCCACTTTTTTCTCCACAAAAATGGTGTGAGATTCTCTCATGAGACTTCAAATAGAGAGCAAACAAAATTTGTGGAGATCATTTTTTTGAGTGGAAGTAACTTGACGGCGTTTAGTACACATTGCCAGCTTATGAGTCATTTCAAAGCACTGGGACGTGGGGAAACTTTTCAACAGTCTGTTCTTGTGGCTGAGAAATACCAGCTAGGAAACTGATTTTCGGTGTAAAAGAGGGACCTTGAGCCAGAATTCTGTCTTCTTCCAGTTGCTACAATGGTCCATTATAATAAATCACTAATGACTAAAATTGCCTCTCCTATGGCCCTGCAAATCAAAGCCCAAAATCTCCAGAAAAATCATCAAGGAATTATCCATATGAAAACCAGGTTCGGGCACCTGGGTGGCTCAGTTGGTTAAGCGACTGCCTTCAGCTCAGGTCATGATCCTGGAGTCCCTGGATCGAGTCCCACATCGGGCTCCCTGCTGAGCAGGGAGTCTGCTTCTCTCTCTGACCCTACCCCCTCTCATGCTCTCTCTCTCTATCTCATTCTCTCTCTCAAATAAATAAATAAAGTCTTTAAAAAAAAATTCTTGAAAACCAGGTTCAAGATCAGTTTATGCTTTATTGTGAGTTTTCATTTCAATAGGATTAAGATTCCTTTTTAGCTTCAAGCAAGCCATCGCTTCACTTACCCTAGCCACCAAAAACACCTGAACAATAATCACATGATTTAAGCAGTGGTGAAATAATCTGATTTCACACAGAATTATGATAAACATTAATATTTTAGTTTTTAGTCAAGTGAAAGGAAAAAAACTCAAAGAGTTTAAAAAAAATAACCATCATCAAACATAGGTTCATCAATTGTATCCCTCTGATTGGGGGTTTTGATAATAAGAGAGACTATAAACGTGTTATCACAGTAGAAAGTGATAGGAAACTAGTTAGGAAAGGGCATATATGGAATATCTGTACCTTCTGCTCAATTTTGCCATGAACCTAAACTGCTATAAAAAATAGTCTATTTTTAAAAATCACATTTCTCTAAAATCCTCCAATTGTGAGGTAAAACTATACTAATTACTTGCTATATAGACTTTCTTTGGTGCATTTTTAGGTTGAAACTTTTGTAGTAATCTCCTAAAAAGTAGAATCCAAACTTTGTAGAATAGCAAAACCAGCAAAGGTCATATCACCTCATATCTATCTAATTACAGTAGTATCTGTCATTTGTCTGTCCTGCATGTTATGACATAACTGCCTTCTAAAACAGCATTTTCCCACATTTCTATTCAAAGTTCTAAGTGTTTCTTTATTATGTTGGGGCCCTTCAACGTTCAACCCAGCTCATTCTCAGGCCTAGCAAACTTCCTGAAGATATGGTGATTGCTTTCCTTTCATTCTCTTGAAACTAACTAGTATCTATAAGGTAGCCATGTAATTTATCATCCTAACCAGAGGCTCTATTAACAATTATACACATTAAAGTAGGACTGTCCTAGGCAAATCATGAAGTATGGCTTCCCTTTATCTCTGACACATTAGTACTACTTTGTAACTTTTCTAGTCAATTAATGTATAATTCTATTGTCTATTTAGCTAACATGTAACTCTTTAGCAGAAGGGATTATTTGTTTCATTTCTATTCGCCATAAAGCTCTATTCATTAACAGGAAAAATTACATGTCAGAACCCAACAATTTATCCTACAATCTGGAGCTTGTATTTATAATTAAAGTTACCAAAAAGGGCACCTGGGTGGCTCAGATGGTTAAGCGTCTGCCTTCGGCTCAGGTCATGATCCCAGGGTCCTGGGATCGAGTCCCGCATCGGGCTCCCTGCTCCTTGGGAGCCTGCTTCTCCCTCTGCCTCTCTCTCTCTGTCTCTCGTGAATAAATAAATAAAATCTTTAAAAAAAAAAAAAAGTTACCAAAAAGTAAAACTATTGACAAAGACCAAAAATTAGTTTCATCAGCTGTTTTAGTGATGCCCAGGGCATAGTTTACCTTCCACATACATGCCTAAACCTAGATAAAAACTGCTTTAAAATCTGAGAAAACTGAATCTGTATTAACAGTTTTGAGACGGTAAAATTTAATAAAAATAATATTGGGTAACTTTTATTTAGCTCTATATGCCAGTCATTATAGTATTACTATCTACATTTAAAGATGAGGACCAAGACACAAAGATGTTAAGCCATTGAGCTCCAAACGTAAGCATTTGGAAATGCATGGTTCCTAAAGCCCCTGCTTTCTGCCCAGAGAATTGAAAAGGGGAGTCCCAGAGAAG